TTAGGACAGTAAGCAGTTTTATAAGAAATATTGTTTTTGGAGTCAATGATCTTATAAACAGGAAGTTTCTTCCGCAATATATATGTAATGCTACGTTTATATTCAGCCGCTTCCCCTGCCACTGGCGCTGCCGGAAATATTGCCGGGCGACAACTGAGCGAGAGGGCTGAATGTAAAAACATACTGCCACTCGCGCTGCCAGTCCTTTGACTCGCGCACGAAATACCGACAATCGAGGGAGCGCCGGGCAGCGCGAGTGGCAGCGCCAATGGCATGGGAAGTGTTTACACTCTCGCGCTGCTCACTTCCCTGCCCACTCGGGATGAGTGTAAATTGGGCATAAGATCGATCATTTTGTGAATTAAATTAGTAGCAGTGTGTGAACATTTGTCTGTGAGTCACTTATTCCGGGAGCCACTGAAAAATTTTCAGTGCTTTTTTCAGCGTCGTGTCTTCAGTCATGGCGTAATGTTGAGATGTATCCCTAACATACATAAATTCACAATGACGCAATGACGATGCTCCACAGTAGTGGATGAGCTATGTTTTAGTTTAATATGGTATTTGTTATTATTTGCTTTCCCTGTTCATTTTTTATGTAAATTTCTCGCCAATGTTATGTATTTTTATTACAATATATATGATGTAATAATTTATACGGTAATGCTAAACTGTCTTTAAAAAAAAGACATTCAGTTGTGGATAAGCAATGCATTTTACTTTATTATTAATATTTTGGTATTTATTTCCTTCCCTTGTTCATTTTTTTATGTAATTATCTCCAATTTAATTTTTTAAATTACAATTTATATTCTGAAATGGCTTTAAAAAATGAATTTCAATTGAGTTTCCTGCCAGTTCTTCTCGATTGAATCTGTATACTGAACTGGATGGTAGAGAATAAATATGAATACAAACTTGAGGTTCATAAGCGGGAAATGTCCTACAGGAATGAATGTTTTTTTATTTAATTAGATTTTCTGTTGTGAGCATCATCATTGTTGTGTTGTGATGTGTGTTGTAATACATTCTATTCTATTCTATTTTTGTATTTTGTGATTTCATAAGCATAATCATAAATTATGTACACTCATTTGTGATTTAATTTAACAAGTGAATTAATAATAATATTTATGTTTCAGGTTATGGTTATTTAACAAAATTTGTGATATATTTTCATTTTTATCAATATGTAATAAGCAATATGTATAATATTCTTCATATAAATATTTTATGGCAAACGAATTTAATATAAGATTTAGTTTAAAGAATGGTATTTTGATATTGTTTTATGAATTCTAAGTAGTTGTATCTCCACTATATGGTAAATGAAAGCTGGTCTTAGTGAATGTTTTTTTTTTTTTGTTTTTTTTTTTAATAGTGTCAACACAGCAAAGCAAATTTGTTAAGTTATAATTTACCTCACTGATTTAAAGTAATTTGTACTTTATAATTAAAACATTATATACTATTTTGCAGTAATATTTTTTAATTATGTAAAGGGAATGTACGACGTAGTATATACAATTTAAGTGGTATATATATTTTTTTTATTGGGTTGCTATTGCCTGATGTTTGTAGCACCTGTAACACTGCGACCTACATAGATCTATTGTGCTCACCTTTTTTCAAAGTTCGCTACCTAGACCCGTCAGGGACAAGAATTGAAGGATATTCTTAGGAGCGATGGTTTTTATCTCCTCGGGAAAGAGTGTAAACTTTCCAAAGGAGATATTTCGTTTATACATGAGTGGGCTACAACCACATAGGATGTGTAGTGTATCAGTTGGGCAGAATCTGCAAATTTTTGTTATGCATAGTGGTGTATTATTATATGTGTTCTTCTTTTAACCTTATTATCGCATAATATTAGTTTATAATAAGTAACCTATAGTTATTTCGTTAAATTCCCAAACATAATTATAAAAATATTAATTACTCTATTACTAAATAAATTTATTGAGTAGTGTTATTTTCAAAATGAGTAAATTTTTAATTCTGTCTCTTCGTCGCCAAATGTAAATAGTTTAGATTATAATTATGATTATTTGACAATAAGTCTATTGTAAAAAGAATAATCTATAGTTGCATTTAATTTTGATTTGTAATGGAACCCCCATTTGAATTTTGTGTATTAAAATATATTTGTTTATAAACTTGTTGTACACCAATAACTTTATCAATTCTGTGTCGATTATGATTATTATTTTTTAATTATCAGGTCTACTTTCAAGCTGGTCTTGTGGCTATTAATTATTTAATGTTACAGATTGTATACAAAATAAATTTTAAATTATTTTTCTAGATATAACGATGGAAAAGTCATTTAAGATTAAATGTCAAATTAGATATTATAAATTGATTTTGTTGTAAGGGTGGGGGAGCACTATTTGTATTCTTTATAATGCCTTATAAACTGGCTATAACTATATAGCGTGTACATTGTTTTTTTTTTTTTGTAAATATTTGGTTATCTAGGTATAGTACTTTAGTTGTAAGTTAGTTTTAAGTTTTCACGACTACTTAATGACGGCAAAATTAATGATATTATAACGGGCATAATGACTAATATTAATACATATAGTACGACTGTTTGTCTGACATTTTTCCACGACTACACGGATCTTAACGAAACTTGATAGAAACTTGAAGATAGATTTCATCACGAAGATAGCCATAGATTATCATTTATCTTTTAAAAATGTAGAAGGGGTTGAAATAAGGGATGAAAGGCATGATGACAAAATAAAAAAATATACTATATTCGTACTTATATGCCTGTTGCTACTAAGAAAAATATATTTGCTTAGAACTAGTGTTGTCATGTCATACACAAGTTTAGGAGTCATGGTGTCAGTTTGTGAGATCACTCCTATCATATAAATACATTGGTTCAAGGACAGGAAAACCTATAGAGATGTCACATAAGTGAATTATATTTTGCGTATTCTTTTGAATAATTAAAATTGCTATTCTTCAATTTAATAGATTTATTATAATATTAAATACTGGTCATCATATCTATGATTCTTTAATTTGTAAAGAGCCGATATTTTCAGTGGAAAGCGACAATGTCCAAAATGTAAACAATTTTTTGTTTGTTTCCAACCAGTGAGTAATAAATATGTTAGGATAAAACAAATTAAATATAAATAAAGATCATCAACTTAACAATATATTAAAGTATCCTATTCATAATCAGTATGCATTTTATCGCCCAATTTGTACCGCTGTAATATTTTAATGATAACTTAGTGAGTAAATAATTGTAATGTAATTATAGTTGTTTGTACATAATATGATTGAGATTGTTCTAATTCTGTGTATTTATTTATTCCCTTTTTGTCTATGGCTATGAGTGCAAGTTTTATGTATTATTATGAGTCGTTTTTACAATTTTAGTATGTGTACATACAAACATATGTTTTATTAGATACATTCTGTATTCTAGAAACAAATTTTAAAAAATAGATTAATTATAACATTATTTTTTTAAGAAAGTAGTCTCATACTGCTAAAGTTTATCTTAAATATGTAGGTTATTCTGTGGCCATATTTCATATTCCAATAACTAGAGATTTGGTAGTGTAATATAATTCGTAATGAAACGAACAATGTTATTCCAATTCTAGTATGTACATAAGGATATGTTTTAAAAACAATATTGAAAAAAAAATTTAAAAGGCAGATTAATAACATAATTCCGTTTTAAGTAGTTACATACTGCCAAAGTTTATATTAAGTATGTAGGTTATTCTGTGGTCATATTTCATATTCCAATAACTAGAGATTTGGTAGTGTAATATAATTCGTAATGAAACGAACAATGTTATTCCAATTCTAGTATGTACATAAGGATATGTTTTAAAAACATTTTGTATTGAAAAAAAATAATTAAAAGGCAGATTAATAACATAATTCTGTTTTAAGTAGTTACATACTGCCAAAGTTTATATTAAGTATGTAGGTTATTCTGTGGTCATATTTCATATTCCAATAACTAAAGATTTGGTAGTGTAATATAATTTGTAAATAATAAAACGAACAATGATTTCAATAAGTATTGTTCATTAACAATTTTTACACTTGTACACATTCTCTGGTCAGCATCTGTGCAGATACAGTTGTGTAAACGAATGCCAGCGTAGTATTTTTCCTTCGCCTCACATCCTATACACTGTTCCAAGTTTGAAATTGGCGCGCATTCCTGCCAAGAGCGAGAAGCGCGCAGCAGACATGGCGTCGCGTTATTCATTATGGCAACCGATGTAAGTACATGGACGACGATTTATTATGGATACGACTGTGGGACATGAAAAAAATAGAAAAATCTAGAAATATATGAGTATCCTACGGCGAAAGCTATAAATACTGGTATCATATCATGAAATATTAAAAATAATTTATGGGAGATCAAATATGAACATTATAATTCGTAAAACAACTATGAGCTCAAATAAAAAACGTTCGAGTATATAGGTGGTGTTATATTGATGTGAGGTCCATATTGATTTATAAAATACGTTTACATAGAATTTGTATTTTTGTTTTTATTGCCTTAGTGGCGAATTTCTTTGTTCGTTAGTAATTATCTGAAGTGAATTATTTAATTTAGACTTGTACTGTCACATGACACACATTTTACTACTACTACTGAATTGTATGGAAATGGTGTGTATAATGCTAACAAGTATCTATTCTGAATTTATGGAAAGAAAAGACAAAAGTAATGATTTAAAAAATTCTGAGGAATGTCCATAATTCTTTACATGCGCAACTTTATCAGCGATTTATTATCAACCCGCTGCTGTTACGTAACATGAACCTGTGTCGATGTTGCTATCTTTGTTACACTCGCTGTACGCTCGCGCCTCTACTGCGCCGACGCGGCCGCCGTCCTGTTTGTTAGAGAGAGATACAAAATATTGCATTAAATTTCGATCCTATTCTGTAATGTTTTGTCCAATCGCGTCCAATCGTTGCGTGTTCCGGTTCTTTGTCATCAATGGGTTGCCGGACTAGTCCATTTTGAGTGCCATTTGAATTCATATTATACAATATTTCTAGCGGTATTAGATTAATTATATGAAGTATTAGAACCTTTATGACAATGCCCTAGTGTTGGACGTGATTCTTATCGAGGAAGTACAGTATTTGAAGCGGTGGCTAATACGCCCTTTTAGCACCGGTGAACCGTGGCCACTTCAGCTGACTGCGTCGTACGCAAGGCTACTCTATCTAAACTAGTAGTAGTCCGCCGATCGAGGGGAGCGGTTGAGTGCGGGATTGCGGAAGTGATATGCGGATATGTCGTTGAGGGTTAAAATGTTATTGGAACGATTCCCATAGACGTGAGCGCGACAGTATCGCGGCTCGCGGCCGGGCGAGTTCAGTATCGCGGCAGAAATCGGCACGAGTCGCGCGGACAGCGGCGCAGCCAGAGAGTGCCGCGGCGGAGGACCGGACCGAGCCGAGGCTCAATAATGCTCAAATTCCTGACTCACAAGCTGCGGACGCATTCGTTGAATGAGGAGAACGTTTCCGAGAAGGTGGGTGTCGCTGCGGGTCGGCTTTGCGAAACGAAGGTCACACCGCTACCAGAAAATGGCCGCCTCGCGCGAGAACAAAGGAGCGGAACAATCGCCGGGCTCGGGGCGTGCTGCCCGTGGTTTGGCACTCGAAATATTGTCCGCCTCGGGTCCCTGCGGTGGCCGTGGTGCGATGACGATGCTTCCACCGGGCGGTGTTCGCGGCCGACAAAAATAATGGGATTGTGCGATGGCCGGCCGAGCATTGATCGGATGTTGGTTGTTGCAGGTGGAGGAGCGGGACTCTGGTACCGAGTCTGACGACGAAGCGGACCGCGAGCCCGGTAAGTGTTATGACGGTGCCGGTGCCGGTGCCGGATGCCGGCCGGCGGCCGACATAACGCCGGCCGGCATCCGCGCCGGTACACACACTACTCTAATCTCATCTCACAGTTACACCTATCTGTCGTAACTTATTTAATTTGGATGATAAACAGAACAATGCACGTCTAAAGTGTCTAACTACTAACCTACTTATCTAACAGCAATGTTTTCGAGAAAATGTATTTATCCCAAATATTTTACAACTCGACTTAAATATGAAACTATTTCGCTATCTCTTCGGTTTTATTATATACAGTTTAATGTGAAAATTTACGCAGCGATGTCCTCTGCAAACAGAATTTGATATTTTTTAATCAAAAAGAGTAATAATACCCGTTTTCACCAACGTCTGCCTCAATTTAGAGGCCATTTAACGTCAGTTTAGGAGTAGGCAGTAAGATTTTCGTTTTCATCAACCTTTAGGTAACTCCTAAATTCTAAAAACCCCTTTTATCTTAAGGGCTCGATATTTCACTCCCTAACTCTTTGATTAAGCCACTTCCGTGTCTGTCGCATCCGTTAACGTTTTGACAAGATCAAATCGCCAGGTGATCTGTTTTCATGGAACAATATGATAACTAAAAAGAAATTTAATCTAAATTGAAACTTATCTAGTCTTAGTTGGGAAAAACTATGGATATAGAAAACTTGACGCGTATAAACTTCCGTGTCTGTCCCATCCATCCATTTGTTCCTGGAAAAACGCAATGGGTTCATCCATTCACCAGGACCTTTTTTCAGGGAACAATGTGATGATTATAAACAAGATTCAGCTGAATTAAAACTTATCTAATCATAGTACTTAGGGAAATATTGTTAACACAGAAAATTTGACGTTTATAGGCAACTTAAATGTCCTCCACGAATTACTGATTTATTTAAAATACGGAAGTAGTTTGCTTCTATTATGCCTTTTTTTGGAGAAAATTGGAGAAAACCTTGGTGAAGTAGATGGGTAATGCCGGACTCTTACGGGCTAAAACCTCAAGGCATTTCTTTTTTTAACCTTTTGCCAGAGCTACGGGAATGCACGAACAGTCTTCCGCAACTGGCGCTGGTCCGCTTATGCAGACCCCTTCGCATTTTAGCTTTTTAGGCAAAATTTGGCCCGTATATTAATTTTCCGTCGCCACACCTAGAATACCTCCTGGCGCCTACCTACTAACTGTTAATACCCATCTACTTAATTCAAGGTCAAGTCTCGCCGAAGCAGCAATCATTAATTCGTCAATTAATATCTCTGGAAAATTTACATAGTGCCATCTAGTCCCAAGCTAAACAGAGCTTGTGTTATGGGTACTAGACAACTAATGGATAATGATAATGGATGGATGGACGAAAATGGATCTCTTAGTGAAACACAATTAGCCCTACTTAAAACTTTTGCCTTCTGAGGTCAATATGTAAATAGTGAATTGTGAATGTCAATTAAATAAATTTAAAATGGTGCAAGAATTGGGCTAAGGGGCGGACTAAAGGATAAAGGATATCCCGAAAAATATTAGCAGTGTTTGAAACTTTAAATCTTTATGAAATTTCCTACCTACATTTACAAGGTCAACATTTTCCTGTACCATATATATGTATGTTTTGTGTTACATAGCTATTAGTGCCTACTATATCTCGTATATTTTAGACTAGCTGTTCCCCGTGACATGGAGCACGTGGATTTTCGCTTTTTTTTTAATTAAATTAAAATTTCTAAAACCAAGGTAGCCAAGTAGGTTACTCTTTATAACATTAGCTATCTACGAGTGAATCCCGTCAAAATCGGTCCAACCGTTTTAGAGATTCGCAAGAACATACAGACACACAACTTTTTTTTAAATAGATAATTATTATTCTTATAATCTAAACTACAATCAACGATGTTATACGTGTGTTTACATGTGTAGGTGTAGGTAAGTACATTTATGGGCAGTGTAAATAAATTTTTGGTCTCATTACCATACTAACCGGTTTTTTATTAATACAATTACAGTGCGTATTGTTTACCTACAGCTAGTTCAAGCAGGCAGGTGGTAGGTATTATATTGTATATGTATAATAACGTTGGTCGCGCTTTGCTTGTAAACCGGAACGGTTGTTTATTTCTGAGAGCGATAGTGGCTTGTTCATCTGCGTTGACCTTGATGTGTGACCTTGAACTTTTTATCAATACTGTCCGACAATGTTTAATACCTTATAATACCTATTTGATAAGGTGGGCGAGTTGTACTTATGGGATCACCTATATATAGAACTTGTTTACATATATGTACCTAACGAACAAACAACACATCCATAGACCGGCTTGTACAAGGTAGAGTTGAAGGTACTGGATATAGTGGACGATCACCCATGGACCGACCAACTCAAAACAGCGATATTTGGTCTACTCCACGAGTGTACCAGAATGGCTGCAGTAAACAAATTGCGAGCTGGCGTACCGCGGATAACATCTGCCTCGTACCTCACTACATAATGACGACGACCATTCTGTCAAGAACGAAACGAATAACGTTTGTCTGTTTTATGCGTCCATGGGCTACGGTAACCATTTACCCTCATGCACATTTTATCATCCTCCACTGGTGCCCCGCCAGCGTAAACCGTTAGCACAGGCGACTGCACCATTTCATTATCATCTATAAAAAAAACTTTTTTCCATCACATTGGCCGAATGCTTCTTTGCCACCATCGTAGCATAAAAAATAAGAAATATCTGCATACCATTTCAAATTGCGATCCAGCCTTCTATTAAACATGCAAGATTTTTGATGCAACTTTCGTATCAAATACACATTATTTTTAAATTAGACTACAATTTTTATTTTAAGTCAAAAGCGTGTCATGAAACACATTCATTTTTACCTACATTATCAAGAGGAAATCTTATCTTTATTTATATTGTACAGTCCAGTACTAGCTGGTTCATTTAAGAACGTGTAAGAAACTCCACTGATATATTGTTATATGTTTGTTTCGGCATATTATGTAATTGGAAAGGTAAACAAGCTCATCAGTTTATCAGATAGGCTATCCTATCTGATAAACTGATGAAAGGGATTACCTCCGTCTATATATATAACAGATCCACTCCAATCTGAATAAAAAAACATGTATTCCTGTAGGACATTTTAGCCGCTTTACCTCACTTTACCTCAAGTTTAAGAGTATTCAGTATTGACATTATTTCCCCTACCGTCCTGTTCAGTATACAGATTCAATTGAGAACTGGCAAGAAACTCAACTGAATTTCTTTTATTTTACAAGCCAGTTTATTTATATTGTTTACTTATATAGGTGTCTATTTCTAACATTAAAAGGAAATCCCATGAACAATTAATGTTTTGCAAGATGATATCATGAGTATATTTCATGTATTGCCATTCCTAATGTCTAAGGTGTTATATCTTATTACCATATCCACTTTGAAATTCGGAAAACAGTTTCCAAAATTACCTAAAACAGGTCAGACTGCGGCAAATTCTTAGACGACTTAGACGACATACTCTCCCTTTGATATTACATATACAGTGGTAGCCAGACAGACAGCTCCTTTGTTGGTTCGTCCAGAAAAAAATACATTTACCTTGATAAATAAACTGTTATTTAAAGTGTGGATAAGATAAAGTACTTACATACAATTCCATATCTCTGTTTTCCGCTCGAAATAAACACGAAAACTCCGCGATCGATATCGCTCCACTCAGCTGGCAAAAAATTCTACGGCCACTTGTGGCCGTATATGTATAAAATAATTCTGTTTTATACGTTATAGAATCTCGTTCATAAGTTAGCCCTGCAATGTCTGCACTATCTATCAATAACTTAATATTAAGCACTTTGATGTTTAATATCGTTTAGCACTCCGCTTTATTTCCAATAATCGTGGGTACGATTCATCGCAACATTTAAACATTTGTATAAAAAAGTAAATAAGTATTTATATCAGTTGTCTAGTACCCATAACACAGGCTCTGCTTAGCTTAGGACTAGATGGCGCTGTGAGAATTGTCCAGGGATCTAAAAACAGGGAAAAATATTCAATAATTCAGAATGAGTTTATCATTTAAGAAGCGCTCTTGTAAAGAACTAAAATATTTTCTGTGCTCCGTTTCTGTAAGGTTATCTATTAGGTCGGAGTGGTTTGATTAAAACATCAAATGAAAGCACGATTGTGGAACCTGGTACCAAAATTTCAAGGCATTGTGACCTATGACATCTGCGTCTGGGTATCTGGGTATCCCACATCTGGGTCAATACTTCTAAGAAGCAATGGCGAGGTAAAATTATATACAGCCTTCATTAAAAATGCAAGATTATCAACCTTCGTACCATATACACATAATTTTTAAATTATCTAAACTATTTTGATCATGCCCAATGTCATCTTCTTTTTTGAAATTTCAATAGCATCTGAACAAAATTTTTAATAAAACCTTATAGACTTCTGAGGCATAGTTAATCTTTTTGGTTCCATTACAACGTAATGTAAAAACAAGTGGTACATCTTCTGATAGACGGATAAGGTTTTCGGATGGAATCTTACCTCGGATGGGTCCATTAGTTATTCAAGGACTAAATTGGACGTAAGCAATAATTTTATTGGCCTCACTTGTGAAAAAGGGTAAAAGACTTAAAGCATACAATATATAAAGAACGTATTATATATTGTATGCTTTAATATATGGTATATCGACGGCATCTAGACCGAGACTCCCTGCTTCTTGTTATTCAAGGCCAAAGGAATTGGGTTATGAAATTCCTTCAATGTGTCCAATTCTGCTAATCCTGTGGGACAATTCAGCAAAGTCAGACTGAAGATTATTGTATCCGCTATTGAGTATATCCAATAAGATTTGGTCAAAGATAGTAGAGCACAATTCAGCGTTTCTAACCTCAGTCTGAACATTATCGTATCCACTAATATACAATATCTAATAAGATTTAGTTTTCTAATTACAACATCGTGTAT